CGTGCAAAGCGGAATAATCCTCTTTTGGGCCCGACGAATGTGTGCATCGATGCTGAACGACGATGTGCTACGAGGAGAAAAAGTCCAATCACGGGCATGTCAAGTCCGAGTGAACTCAGGAGTCGAACCTTGTCAATCGCTCCTGCAAGTTTTCGGGTGGATCACGTCCTTCGTGGTGCTCCACCCATGACCAACCTTGTGTTACACAGGCTCGACCGGCGGCAGCTTCACCTACTTGTGTCCATGAAATACTACGTGTAATGCTGACTACAGCTGTCTTGTACGACACCTTCCAACGACCATTCTTTGGGTCCGTCCAAACCTGTACAGTATCAGGAACCATGCTCTTCACAAGCTCGTCCGTCGTGGCATTCAGCTTTGCGTACACCCGGTCGTACTGCTGCTTTAGCTTTTTGCTGTCCTTCTCGGCCTTCTGAGTCTTGCGTCGGCGTGTGTCCTGTCCGGCCTTCCAAAAGTCCTTGTCCAGGTCCGAGACGGCGTTCTTGTACATCGTGCATACCTTGGGTCGTAGACTTTTGGCCGAAACCGTGGACCGACGGGCACTGAGCTCCTTGAGGGCCTTGTCCTGCTCGCCAATGAGCAGCGTGTCCCGAACGACGGCTTCCAAGTCCTTGTCGTCGACCTCCGGCATCCACTTGTCAGTCTGATGCCTTGCCAGGATTCGTTGAACCACGTCCTCTTCGACCAACGAGTTGTCCATGTTGAGCATGGCGGCAACAGCCAGCTGATGTCCTGCGTCCACACCTGATTTGGGTTGGGTGGCGGTCCAACCCATGTGCTGGCACAACCTGCGCAACAAAGCCTCAGAACAGGCAGCGAAGCCCTGCTCGGCGTGAAAGTCCAACGTGCCCATCTTCTTGTCCACCAAAAACACGATGCCGTTGTTGAGGTGGCTGCCCTGCGTGGAACGACCTCAGCAGTAGCAGTAGCGGCAGCAACACTCTTAGTAAAAAATGATCGCAATCGTTAAGTTTTGCGCCTGGTCAGTAAAAAGCGGTGATATCACTAGGAAGACTGGTAAAAAGACTCGAAAAGGTAGTAGTAGTAGTAGTAGTAGTAGTAGTAGTAGTAGTAGTAGTAGTAGTAGTAGTAGTAGTAGTAGTAGTAGTAGTGGTAGTAGTAGTAGTAGTAGTAGTAGTAGTAGTAGTAGTGATAGTACTAGTAGTACTAGTAGTAGTAGTAGTACTACTACTAGTAGTAGTACTACTACTACTAGTAGTTGCAGTAGTAGCAGTAGTAGTTGTAGTAGTAGTAGAAGAAGTTGTAGTAATACTAGTAGTAGGAGTAGTAGAACTGGTACTAGTAGTAGTAGTAGTAGTACTACTACTACTACTACTAGTAGTACTTGTAGTAGTAGTACTACTACTACAAGCAATCGCAGTAGTTTACAGTAGTAGAAGGAATCTCAGCAACAGTCCTAGTAGTAGTAGTAGTATTACTACTACTAGTACTAGTACTACTAGTACTACTACTACTACTACTACTACTACTACTACTACTAATACTACTGCTAGCACTAGTACTAGCACTAGTAGTATGGCCAAAAAAGTGGTAGCAGTACACACAACCACACCCTCCTTTCGTCAATACCCAAAACCTCGACGCACGTGCCATCCTGGGCTACTCAACCTAACTCTGTGAAACTTCGAATCCTTGACTGTCGAATCGCCTGAGTTGTTCAGAAACCCATAAAAAATAGCTTCAGTGCTACCCCCCCCGGGCCGAAACTTACAATCTGAACCGGAGAAGCCTTCCGTGTCAATCAATCATCGTCACTCATTATAGGACGAATATATATGTAGAGAATGTCCGTGTCGGGCTGACAATGTTCAACTGTACTGCAGCCGAGGCACGCAGAGGTGAAACAACTCGCAGCCGCAACACTTCCAAGTCCAAAGATGTGCTGTGCATCCAAAAGAGAGACCGAACGCCCATGTTGAATTCGAAAAACTCATGGTCCTTGTCCTTAACGATCTTGCCGGGCCATGCGAGTGCAGCCAAACGGTATGTCCGAACGATGAACAACGGGTCTGCACCTGCCAGTACAACATGTCCTTCGGGCAAAAGTCCAGAGCACCAACCTTCTTCACAAAGCGACCATCGCTTGGCCCTCCACGCCTTCATCAGTAAACTGAAGGCAGCCAAAACCTCCTGTTCCTCGGCGTGGTTGTGGGAGACCCAGTCCCTCGTCTTCGTCACGTCTGCAAGAAGCTGTGCTTCCTGCACCTCCGAGGCACTGACCTGCGTGCTGACCGACGAATCGGAACGACGACGAACTGCTTGAATCTTCTTCTTCTCGGTGTCTTTGCAGAAAAGTTTGGCCACGTCAAACGCTGCCGGCGTGTGGTAGAGCTCCGTTGACAGTGCCTCCACCCTCTCGTACATCTTGACCACGGCCTGTTGGGTCACAGCCTTCCATCCGTCCAAACGACCCAAGTCCTTCGAAGACGAATGTCGTTGCTCGGCCTCGCGCTGGACTTTATTACAGTCTTCGATGATCTTCGTGTTCAAGAGGCCCGACCAAATGCTGGTCAATACGTGTGCAACGTCCTCCGTAAGGCTCTGAAACCGGGTAGTGCAAAGATCGGCGAGGATGTACCGACTAATCGGCCCTTGGGAGAAATGACCTTCGAGCAATTTTTGCCATACGAGAACCACCACTGTGCGTGTCCTGGATACAAGACTGCATCTCTTTGAAAAAATCCAAGCTTGCCCGACGGAACTGCTCTTCAGCATGGACTAGTCCTGCGGTCGCACCGAAACCTCCAGTATGGTACAGCTGTGCCCCGGCCCGCAGCCGCAGGATCTGTAGTGTCAACTGCGTCATTTGGCCTGCGAGCGAGTCCTGCCAGACAAGCTCTGTCTCCTCCGGGGGTTGTGCGCGTGCCAGTGTCAGGTCGAGGCCGACACGAGATAAACCTTCCAAATTCGACAAAGTCCTGACGTGGTCCTTTGCAGTGCTCATCCAAGACCAGTGTGCCCAGCCAGAGTAGTAGTCCTTCGTCATGCCTTTGGAACGCAGCTGCTTGAGCATGAGCGAACAACGAAGCTCTTCGGGTTGCAAGACCTGGAACATCATCCTGGCTGTCGTCTTGTTGTCCTGCGAGATCACGAACTTCGTCATTAAGTGTAGACTGTTCGCGCTGCCCTTCCGCTCCTGGTCCATGCCTTGCTTGGCCTCCTGTATGGCAGAAGACTTGCTTCCACCATATGGAACCGAGGCACGGGCCTGGTTGCTGTCCTGCGAGAAGAGGTCCTTAGTGGAAACTGCCCAGTTGTGCTCCAAGCAGACCACCGTGAGAACTAAAGCCAAGACCGACCACTCTTTGTCCAGCGCGCTGTGGGCCGTCGTCAGGGAATTGAACCGACTCTTGCTGGCCTTCGTGCCCTTGATGCGGATGCAGTCCATGTCGGGTAATGTCTGCAAAAACGACCTGCGTTTCTCCTCCGTGTTGTCGTCCAGGGGGGAGAGGCCGGCGTCCAGCAGAATGTCCGGGAAGAAAAGGAGCAATATCGGGTCCGAGGGGTCCATGTTGTCCTTCATGCGATTTGCGGCTTGCTGGATCTTCAACGCCCACGAGCCCTTCTGCCAGGGTCCATACCTGATGTTGTACAGCGAGATGCACGTGCAGAACTTCAGGAGTCCAGCGGCCGACAAGGCCAAAGCCACGTCGTTGTGCGACCTGTGGGCGGGGTCCGAGACGTGTTCGATCCAGAGGCTCTTTTTGTTCCTCAAGAAGGAGACAGCCGCCAGCTGTGTTGCTTCTTGGTCGGTGCACAAAATCATGATCGGTGCACGTTTAGCCTTCGTGTCGTCCTCCGCGGGGCCGGCCGGCGTGCTCTGGCAGCAGCCAAAAGTCCAGCCAATGGGTCGCAAGCCGTGGTTTATGTCCTGCATCCAAGACAGTGTGGCCAGCCGGTCCTCCGCATGACCAGGTCCAACGGGTTTCTCGATCCCGAGGAACTTCTTGGAAGCCTTGTTCCACATAGCTTTCCACTGCTCAGCCGACAAGACGGACGATTTCTGGACCTGCTGCGTGGTCTGACTACACAGAGAAAAATGTGAAGCAAAGCTTAGAGGAAGAGCTTGTCAGCAACAGCATGCAAAACAAACGACAGAGGTTGTTACCATATAATCACCCAGGGGCCCTTTTTTGGGGGACCGGCCGGTCAACTTAAGCGGGGATCTGGCGTACCTTTTTGGGGGCCGAAATGCAGCCAAAATGTGGCCGAAATGCGTTCCTCGGCCTCCACCCGGGACCCGGTCAACTTAAGCAAGGCTGTGCGTACCTACTCATCAGTAGAAGGGCGGCCGGGAGCCTTTATCAGGCCAATCCCGAAACCCAGGGGTCAGCGGGGATACGTGTACCTATCTTTATATAAAATACAATAGAAAGACTCCGCCCCAAACCGAGCCTGAGCGGGGATACGTGTACCTCCCCTCGGAAAAACGATTTTGGTCGGACCCAGAAGCTACGAAAACGGCACCCAAAAAGGTCAACTTAAGCAAGGCTCTGACGTACCTCGCCTCTTGCCTAAAACGCCTCAGAAATATGTGTTGCTTAACAAAAAAAAAAAGCGCCTGCGGCGGGCAGACCCAAACTTTGTCCGTCGTGTGGTTGTACACCATGATGTTCAGCCAATCGTCACTTCCCACGTGCACTGCATCTGCCACCACGCACAAAATGTCCGTCGAGAGGAAATCTGACTTGCCCTGCGTGACATAGGCGTATCGCTCCATGCGTGCTAGCCTGTGTGCGTCCATAGAAGCGTGCTTCTTGATCTTTTGTTCGTCCTGCTGTTCGCTGCTGTCCTGCACGGTGAACGCATGTCCTTGCAATGTGGAGGTAAGTGTCCTGCGTGTGGCATTCGATGAACTCGCAACCTCTTGTCGAAAACTCGTGGACGACCGACGATATCCGGAGGTGCTCCTGAAACAACAGGGGGAATATCAATTTTCGGGCTTTCAAGACACAACCCTACATCTTAAAACCCCGGAACCCTCCAAACCCTTCAAACCCTCCAAACCCTCGAATCGAAACCTCTCTCCTAAGCTGCATCACTTGCTTCACATTCAAAGATGTCCAGCAGGAATGCGTGTCGTCCGACGAATCCATGGCACGTGCCAAAGCCGCCAACAAGTAGTACTTCGTCCTCAAACTAGATGACTTGCGAGTGTCTCCAATTGTCCGACGGGTGCAGTCCACATTCACATCCTGCAGCACGTCCATGAATCGGGAACGATCGCGGTGTAGTACTTTAGCAAGTAAACTGTTTTGCAGTACAACCTCGTCCACGTCCAGCGAACCTCCTTTGAACGGCAGCACCAGAGTGTTTCCGTCCCACGTGAATGAGAAGTCCTGCGGGGTCTGCAGGAACAAGGAAGCGAGGCCTTGAAGCAACTCCCCGGCCAGCTTGGATACCTCCTCTGCCGGCTTCTTCCATTTGGCATCTTTGCGCATACCCTGGTGCCATTGATGCAAAAGAACAATCGTTGCAAAGCTCGACGTGGCAAACTCTGTACAACGTGTGCTTCGTCCAGCTGCTACCTCTTCCATCTGGTCACCCGTGTGCTCCTCATTGTCCGCTTGCTCGTTGTCGTCCTCCATGTCGTCCTGCATCTGCTGCGAGGATGCCTTTCGTTTGGTGCCCTTCTTCTCGGCGTTTGCAGCGTGCTCCTGCTGCTTGAGGAGGGAGAACGAACTCTGGAGAAAGTGCGACTCGATCTCTTTTTTTCAGAGCGTCCTCCGTGTCTGTCCAGCAGGGCCATGCAATCGTGAAGAGCTTGTTCCTGAACGTCGACACACTGCCTGCGAGGAAATTTCGAGACTCGTGTCCTCCGAGGAAGTCCACAAACCAACGCATGTGCCAAAAACGATGTCCATCCGTTACCTTGGTCTGCGGCTCTTTGAACTTGTAGCTCTCGCCCTTGAGGCTTCCGTGTGTCCCGCAGGGAATGCAAAATGCAACTGTCCGACGCTTGTCCGACGCAGAGCTGAAAAAAGCTGGAGGTCCTGAAGAAGAGGGTCCATCGGCAGAAGCGGGCTCCAGCATCTGATAGCGAGTGGATCAATTCTACAGTCTGTTTCTGGTGAACGAATGTAGCAAAACTTTATAGGCTATGTCCCAGGAAGTATATGTGACATCTGCCAAACCAAGAGAAAGGGAGGCTCTGCAGGCATGCAGCTTTTATTCTGGAAGCCCAAAGACAGCGGCAACGAATCGCTGATGTCGCAAGGCAGTGCTCACACCACGTGTCATGGGTCTGTGTTCTTCTGCAACATGTATGTAGCACATACTGCAAGGCACCGCAAGGAAGTCATTATTGCAGTCAGCCATTCATCGCACGTATTCTTTTATGCAGCTTGCAAGTTGCCGGCTTCACGGCCCCAGTGAAACTCGTGCCTGTCCACTCACTCAGACACAATGGGTCGAACGGCGAGGCGAACGACATTGTGCTTTTCGAGTGAACAAACTGGACAGAACAACGAGTAAAGTCAACCCCAAACTCAAGACACACTGAACTACCAGGAGAGAGTGCATTATGCACTCCGGACCGACGGGGTGCCCTGCGGCACATTGTCGCCGAGGCCAGCCGTGGTGTCTGCGTCCGACGACAAGTCGAAGGTCCACTTGGCCTTCATGTCCGGCAAAGTAGGAAAGAAACTCGCGCATTCAAAACTGAACAACGAGTTATGCTGTCCATCTGAAATGACACAGTCCACCGCAAAAGGGTCGTCCAATTGCCACGTCTTGTTGTCCGGGAGAGTAGGAAGCTCGTGGCTGAGGTACGACTCGTTGGGTACGAACTCCGAGCGGGAACGGCGAGGGTGTCCATCTTGTGTGGCAAAGACGTGGCAGTACAACGTGTTGTTCTCAAGTGACCAGATGTTGTACCTGTCCCGGTCAACACTGATAGCCTCCGCCGAGTTCACCGCAGCTATGTAGTTGCGACCAACGTCCTCCATGCGGGCCCTCGCTAACTTGACCAACGTGGACTGATAGCGAATGTCCGCACGAGATGGCAAGGACGCCGACTTGGCTGCCCAGAACTGGATCTCGAAGAGGGTCCGTACGACGGGTTCGTCCTTCTGTACGTCCTCCGCGAGCTCCACACCGCAATGCTTGAGCATTAAGCTCGCCATCTCAAGCGGCAAACTGCCCCATTTGGTGCACTTGCCCTTCCATCTCAGTCCACCGGTCTCCTCCTTCTTGGCAACGTCCTTCAGAAGACCATTCAACGAGCCCGAGCGGATCAGACCAGCGAGTGGAGAAATCCAAGTCGGGTTCTGGGTCAGCGTGTCTTGAATGAACCGCATGTCCACGTCGAGTATGGTGCTTTTGGAGTGCTGAACGGCGGATGCGAACGTCGCCTCGTTGCGCTCCCGGGTCTTGATGTCCTTCGCTTTCTGCTTCGCCAGCTGCTTGAGGGTGGGCTTGCGGGGGCCGGCATCACGAGGCATGCTGGGCAAGGTCCGTCGAGGAAGAACGACGGGGAAGGATGATAAGACTGCACGAAGTCTCAACGCACAGGCAGGACGGCTTCGGAAAACCAAACAATCAATCAAGCCCTGCTGCTGGGTGGTCTCACAGTGCATTGTGACTGGACGAACATGGCAAGCAAGACACAAAGCGTAGACCGCACGAGAGCACAGTGCCTGAAACGAGAAGGCTCAGCGGCAGCGATGCCGGCCAATGGAGTCCGTGTCCTCCATATGAACAGGACAACAGCGATTGCAAGAGCGCCTTCCTCCAGCTGGTTGACTACTGGTCTAGTAATTACTCGTAGCAATACTAATCCAGATTGCGAAGAGTAGTACTAGCAGCAGTACCACTACTCATTAAAGAAAGGAAAAACCAGTAGGCCGAAATTGCAGTCCCTATTAGTTGAAGTAGAAGTATTAGTAGTAGTAGTAGTAGTAGTACTAGTAGTAGTAGTAGTAGTAGTAGTAGTAGTAGTAGTAGTAGTAGTAGTAGTAGTAGTAGTAGTAGTAGTAGTGTACTAGTAGTAGTAGTAGTAGTAGTAGTAGTAGTAGTCGTAGTAGTAGTACTAGTACTAGTACTAGTCGTAGTAGTAGTAGTAGTAGTACTAGTCGAAATAGTAGTAGTAGTAGTAGCAGTAGTACTGGTTAGCTAGTAGTAGTAGTAGTAGTAGTAGAAGTAGCAGTAGTAGTCGTAGTAGTGCTAGCAGAAGTAATAGTAGTACTAGCTAGCTAGCTAGCTAGCTAGCTGGCTGGCTAGCTAGTAGTAGTAGTAGTAGTAGTAGTAGTAGTAGTAGTAGTAGTAGTAGTAGTAGTAGTAGTAGTAGTAGTAGTAGTAGTAGTAGTAGTATAATAATAGTAGTAGTAGTAGTAGTAGTAGTAGTAGTAGTAGTAGTAGTAGTAGTAGTAGTAGTAGTAGTAGTAGTAGTAGTAGTAGTAGTAGTAGTAGTAGTAGTAGTAGTAGTAGTAGTAGTAGTAGTAGTAGTAGTAGTAGTAGTAGTAGTAGTAGTAGTAGTAGTAGTAGTACAGTACCAATGCTAGTAGTACTTGTACTAGTCGTGGTAGTAGTCGTAGTACTGAGTTGTACACCTCATGATTATTTTCCTGAATCAAGCCACACCCGAAGCCCCTCTGTGGACAAGTATGGTGAACTTCCAGAAGTGAAATCGGTTTATACCATGCACTGTAAGTAGATCTAGTTAAGGAGACACCACCCGCAATGAATAGGCCAGAACTAACCTTAATGATTCACAGCCACAAACAACAAATCTAATGTGTAACGCCCAACACTAAAATTTACCGCTCACCCTCGATTCTATGCACTCGATGCTTGAAATGCTGAAATGGCAACCCAGGCAACAAACCGGACTCCAATTGCTCAAAGGCCTTTAACTCTTTATGTCTACGGCAATTGCTCCATGTCTGCTGCAGGTGGATCCTAACTTACCTCAGAGTCCGCGGAATGCCTTGTCACAATCCGAAAGCATGACCCCTGACTTAGTCCTCGTCCTGCCGTGTGGCCGTGCCCTGCGAACCGAACGAGGAGTGACCGACCTCAATTGCAATGCATGAAGCACATGACAAACCTAGTACGAGTGACTGGTGACTGCGGGTGGTTCAAGCACTTGTCGCTTCCGAGTGTGACAGGAAAGAACACAGCAACTGTGCCGATGCAAATCGTCACAAACTGTGCAGCACCAGAACTCCGAGGACCCCGCCAAAGAGGTGCCAGTCCATGTCAGCAACCTGAAGCGCAAAAGTTTAAGTCAGCAAACAGTGCGATAGGAACTAACATCCGGCAAATGTAAAGTGTGCCAGGACAACTCTTTTGAACGGCGAGAGCGAACTGATCTGAACTCCGAGTGCAGAAAACGTGTCACTTTCGAGACTGGCCGGCGAGAGCGAACTGCTCCAGAACTCCAAATGGAGACTGGCCGGCGGGTACGTCGTGCTTGAACGAACTGCGGCTAGTTCCACGAGCCCGGTCCAAGTTCGAGTTTCTTGAGAAACAGTCCGATGCACTGAAAGTCGATCGTGTCACCTGAACCAGCGATGTCCGAAAATTTGTCGACTTGGTAAGTATTTCAGTTATACTACAAGGTTTACCAACAAAAATCTTACTGGTTCTGCTGTTGCACGTCCGTCGGGGCCCTTCGTGATGCAGAAGTACAAGTCCGACGCGTTGTGCGACGACACCGCGTAGTACATGTGGCCCTGCCAGGGAACGGGGACGGCCACCGGGTAGGCCTCCCAGTCGCGGTTCAGCATCTCGACCATCCACGATTGCGGGTGTCGGGAACCGAACAGCGGGGAATGGAGTCCGGCGGAGAGGGCGTTGTCTGTCCTGCGCTGGGCCGCCCCGAGTATCTGCTTGAAGCAGAGCCTGGACCGGCAGCGGGTGCTGCGTGTTTAACCACTCACACACACAAGTGCAAGTACTGGAATGCTTGAATGACTGAGTGCGCTGATGTCATAGCTGAGTGCCACACTCCAACATTTTATCGCCCTGCATGTGTTCGACGAGTATCTGCCAGCCGTCGTCCTTCCTGCTAGGGAACAATTCAATTATCAGAAACACAAACTATTAAAATCTAGAAGTCTCTCTCACTCACCGTCCGAGGAGTCCGTGTCGCGAAGGCAGGGGGCCGCTTGTACAGCAGTCCATCGGTTGCAGCAAGCCAAGACCAAAGCCTACGGGATGTGCTCTGTGGAAAATAATCAATGTATTATAATATTATATGGCTTTAAAAGCATGCACCTTCATAGAAACCACGCTACAACCAACATGGGTGTAACGAGCCTGTCCGCCCATTTCTGCTGCGTGTCGTACGGCGAGTGTTCGGGTACAAAGACAGTCGAGAGCCATTCGGTGCGCCATTCGGGCATCCTGTCGGGTTGTCCAGTGCGGAAATAATATGCCTGCGCAAGGCTCAGATCGGCGAGGAAGCACTGCAAATCCTCCTGCGAGTCAATGTCCGGCGGAAGGCAGTCCAAACAGTTCGACGGCAGCTGCTCGCAATAATCGAGATTACGCTGCAGGATGGTACTTGGGTCTTCCATCCCACAGACCGACGCGAGGTAATAGTCCATCGCACGAAAATCGAATATGACCTCGTCCTGCGGGTCGGTGGAACGGCGAAGAAAAAACGGGAGTCCATGGGGAAGTCCTGCTCGGTCAGCGGAACCGGAGGACGACATGTCCGACGAGAAAGAACGAGGAAAGGGAGAGGAATGATGATGACAGTGGCAGGTGGCTTGGGCTTTCTGGCAGCGGCATGATAACAATGATTCTGTGTCTAGGCTTCTTTAAAAAACCTAAAGCATCACCAACCACGACAGACCATGATGCTTCAGATGAAAGTCTGCCTGACTTGTGCTGCTGCTCCACACTGGCAAGTGCTAGGCTGCCCACGGTGATCTACGTGTGCCCACTCGAAGTCCAGCGGAGTCACCTTTGTGAGGCCGACGTTAGTACTACATGGGAACCATGGACTCATGATTTGTCCCTAGTCCTTCGGGGTGGTCCTGCGGTGCCGCTTTTGAACTTCCTAGCTTAAATCATAGTAACTTCGAATGCAAAGTGCACAGAAAAGGAGCTTGGACAGTCCTAGGAACCGACCTTGAACAGTCTGGTTACAAAACCCAGCATTCTTTACAAGAGGCAAGCTGCATCGAACTCCGAACGACCGTTGCAATGTGTACTGACGACCCAGGCCTTGTGTCTAAGTCTTCAAACTGACATGTATAACTATGATTCTAAACTGCATTCAGTCAGCTGCTAACCACCCTTGTCCCAAAGGAACCCCACACCCTGTGTAAACCCGACAGCTGAAACACAGACTCTGTGTGTGTGTGTGGGTGTGTGTATGTGTTGTCCTGTGTATGTCCTGCGAGTGCCAACAGCTGTTGCTTAGTGTTGCATGGGAAACCAGATGAACACAACGTCCCAAATGAAGTCCCCAATCTCAGAAGATGTAAGTAACAAGCGAAGAAACCTGTAAGTAGCATCTCAAGACAAGATGGTTCCAAAGGCAACCGCTAAAGAAAAGTATAAGTACCAGGAGAACAAAAAGGGAATGTGCATTCTCGAGTCCAGTACCATTATACCACTGCACAAGTGCAAGAACTTACTGTACTTACCCTGTGCCCTGAAGAGAACCATCCTTTAAACCCAAAAAAAAAAAGCATGAACAGACCTGAGCTTGCAACGAAGGATTGCGCATGGAAGACCTGATGCGAGGAAGCTTGAGGGCTTCTCCTCTTTAATATTTTATAATTCTGAGTATTAATATAATATTATTATTGCCTGATGTGAAACCTCCACAAAGACTGAGACACCCAATCCAAACCACTTTTTGACTGTCCATGGTTTGAATATCAAAAAGCTCGTAAATTAAATATGAAGACAGACCTTTCCTGAGAGGGAAGAATAACGATTCTGAAGCCCCCTGTAGACTACTGCAAACTCCATTATCGCAAATCCACCTCTGAGTCTTTGCCATCCGACTTAACATTTACATAGAAGACATGGACACCACATTTTCCTAGCCGCATGGCATATGAGAAATATGAATTATCTGTGCAGTAACGGCGCGGCAAAACAGCTAACTCCAAACCGTGATGAATCTTTCATAAGAGACCACGACCCAACCAGCAACACATGATCGGAGCCGCTCTGAGCACCCAGCTGCGAAGAAAGGGTGGCTTCAATTCACCTGACGCTGGCAAACACTGGCATGCTGATACGACTCACTTACTACCTCAGGAAAGCATTCTGCGGCAACGACTGCAGAACCGCACTTTTTCCTGCTGTGTCCGGCGAGTCGAGAAGTTGGCGAGTCGAGTACCGTGTATCAGACCGACGAATCAGGATATTTCTCTATTCCAGGATGCTGCTATGCGGCCTTCTAAAACATTAATTTAATAGTTTGTCCTTCGAGGAACCGTCGAGTCTGATATGCACGGGAACTACGGGGGACTCCGTCCTCCGGGGGGAGCAGCCGGCTTGCGGATGCAGGCGGGTGCCTGCTTTGGCGCCGGGGCGGCCTTCGGGATGCTGGGAGTCTTCGCCTGGAATCAGGACATGTAATGACTAAGCAGGAAATACATGCAACATGTCACCGAGGCCACCGAGTGCAATCAAGACACAGCTGTGGCTGGTCCGGCGGGTTTAGCGGGAAGTCATGTGCAGAACAGAAGCAGCCACTCGAAACAATGTCACATGTGCAAGTAGTTGAAGCTACATATCCCAATGAACGGCGAGAAAAAAACAAATCAACATTCTTGAAGCGAACCTAAGAAACCATGTCTAGCTTATTATAAAGCATACCGAACCAACGATGCAGGGCCACTGTTTCTGCATACTGGCACTGTGAACTGTGTGAACACCTGCTATTGTTCCGACCGTACACCCCTTCTTTGCTGGGCTCCATATCCAAGGAAGAAGTGCTGGAC